TCTCTCTCAGACAAAATAGATGACGCTTATCTTGTCTATTTCAATGACGTCTCTACCGGCCGTAAATGGCAAATACCAGGAGCCCATTGGGTTCCTACAAATACTTATTGTGAACATCAAAACTCCTATCAGTTCGCGCTGTATGTACCACCTCTCGTGCCGTAACAAGGAGGCTTCTGTGCCTGAGGGACTCATTTAAACTGAACTGGCTTGGTAGGTTCAACGAAGTCGGATGGGTTCAGTTGTGGAGGTGAGACAAGATCAAGCACCGCATCGCTCTATAGTGGCTCTAGTTGAGGGTTAGTGGTGATTACATTGACTCCATCGCAATAAGTGGTGAATCTAGGGGAGGGGTCCGGGGTCCCTAGCTCCCCTTATTTTGGGTAAAAAAAAAAACAAACAAACGCAGAATGGGGATAAGCCGGCAGGTGTACACACACAGACCAGAAAAGAACACAACAGAACTTTATTTTACGTGGCACTCCACTTAGCTAAAAGCTACTTTACAGGAAGGCCACAAAAACGGCAGAAGAAAGCGATTTATTCAGCAAAAAGGTAAGGCACGGTATGATGACATCAGCAGAATCTTTGAGAAGGCGGGCGCTGATCTTATCGTGGTCAATTGCCTTTTTGGTTTTTAGGGAGCTTAGGTATTTCCGCACGAACCTTGGATTTACATCGGAGAAGCTAAAGACTGATGATGATGGGGTAGCCCGGGTAGGGGACTGGTGCATCGATCTCTTGTTGCGTTAGCTAGGTGTGTCCCTCTAGATGTAAAAAAAATCGTTAAGGGCATTAGCAATTGAAATAGGATTGTTATGTAAAACTTCGCCAGATGAGATACACGTAGGACCCCACCCAGATTTATTTTCACGGTTTGTGATTTCGTTTAGGGTTTTCCTGAGACCAGCACCATTGTCCTTGTTATTGATGATACATTCTTGGTAATATTTAGACTTGGCTTTTTTAACTTCTTCGTTTGTTTGGTTCCTGAGTTTACGATATGTAGACCAAGCAGCGGCAGAATTTTAATTCAGTGTTTTCTTATGGAAACGATCTCGATCTTGCATTAATATAGAAAGCTCGGGCGTCATCCACGGGGTCTTTAGGCCTTTGACTCTTTGAATTTTAATGGAGCGTGTTAGTCACCTATGCTGGTGTAGATTGTACACCAGGTATTTACAGCATTATTGACATCATCTGCGTTGTAAACATGGGACCAGTCTGTTGTTCTAAGGTCCCAGAGAAAGCGTTCTTTATCATAATGTTTATATGAACGGTATTCAATAACATGCGGAGGAGCCTTGGAAACACCTGCTTTTAACGTGCAGAACACAAAGGAATTACAAAACCTTACATAAATACTCTCCTAAATCTATACATCTCATCAAGGGAAACTAGTCACAATAGTTTATCTTGTACAAAAACTACATCTAACAAGAAGAAAAATATGTTTAATTCAACTGATTATTTAATACCGCTTACAATGATGCTATAATGAAGTTACAAAACATCGACATTATACTACAATGTCGGTGTTTAGTAACCTCGTTACTTACCTAGGTTTATTCACGCTAAGCTAGGATAAGGAAAACCTGAAAGAATTCCAAAATATTCAGCAAAATTCCTTGCAGATTGTAAGTTATAATTGTTGATCAGCACCTCACATAGAACAGATTTATATCTAAAATTTAAAAACATACTAAAACAAGTACATAATTTCTAATCAATAAAAATAACAATTGAAATAATTAATTGGATTACATAATAGTTCGAGTAGCTACACTTAAAAAATACTAGTGCAACTTTAGGCTAACTAATCACTGTTATGATATACAATCGGCTCTACCACTTAATGGCTATTCATGCAAAAAGCTACATACTTAGTATAAAAACAGAAAAATCACTCTACTATGCAAATACCATTAGAAAACTATAAAGGTACATCGGCTTAAAGGCGCCTACATTCAGTTAATTTTCTATACACCGAACTTGAATAACACTTTGGCAAGTTCATAATTACAGATTGAGCGTTCCATAAAAAAAAAGTTCAATTGGAGCTTCTTGGTCAAAAATGTCCCTATTCAAAATTGTCTCACTACTACGACATGGCTATACATGAAAATTCTAAAAATGGTATAAAAAATCTATAGATACACTTTTCAAAAGGAGTAAAGTAGATTTCTTTGAGAAAAAATTCAACATAACTTCACACAACTTCAATAGGAAACAAGAAATTTCTAAAAATTGTTGAATACTGTACATCTATTTTTGTACTTAACATATACACTAATCTACGCAACACTTTCTTGTGGTACGCCTCAAGTAACCTTCAGTTCTTTGGGTATACATACACGCCAAAAGACGAGGGTTCATATCAAGAAAATACTACGGACAAGTAGGATATTCCATGGTATAGTATACCACAGGCGATACAGAACTATTTCATACCATGCCAAAGAAAATACAGCAGCTAACACAGTGAATGAGAAGACCTAGGCGTAACTTCATTTGAAAAAGTTGCGAATTAGCTTCTTACTAGCTTTTATCTTGACAACTTAAAACTCTTTCACTTCTATAAATATAGAAAACATGAAAAATGAAGTTATTGTAGTCGTACACCTGCAAGAAACTTGAAATATTGAAATGCCACCACTTAACAAATAACGGCTAAAATAAGATCACCACGCAAGATGGGAAGGTTATGTGTAGTACAGTCGAATATGCAGCAGCTTCCCTGAATTCTCATTGACTGTATTTCCTATGATATGCTACAAATTTTAATAGATTTATGTTTATCCATGTATCTATGTTTACATCTGTATGTTTCAAAATATATGAAAATCTATATAAATACCCATCCCCCAGAACCCGTGGAGCTGAATTTAAAAATCTTGAGCTCAGAGAGTGACTCCAACAAACTAAAAAAAAAAAAGACGATAACATGCCTGGACTTGTGATTCCTAAATTAAAAAATTCCTTGCCATTTTAACCAAAACGTCTACCCAAGCTTTCTTATAGGGGATAACGAACAATTATTCAAGCCCTAAAACACAGTTGTAGGGCGACTACAATGTCTATCAAATTACCTTTCTAAGTAATTCTAACAGCGTTCATTTTACTACGTCAACAGACACGCCTACATTGTTGGGAGTTATTTGAAAGAAAACTATGTCTGAATCTGTATCTATATCTGCATATCTATATGTGGATGAACCTATTCCCATCCTAAAGCCTATACATCTTAAGCAACAGCTGTATCTTATCTACATCGACATATGTCAGTACCTGTCTACATCAGTCTAACCCTGTACTCTACCTATGCATGTGTCTTCCCCTTGATCAAAGTCTATTTCTGTATTTGCATACGCATTCATGTATTCAGGTTACGTCTTTTCCAAATCAAATCTCAGATCGACACTTAACTAATATCACAGCAGTGACTTTCTTGCATGCATTTAATATCTGCATTTGTCACCTATATGTATATTTGATAGTTGCAAACTATTAACTGAATTTAAGGATATGCGTAGTGTGTTTAACGTAGGCAAATAAGGTTATGGTGTCTTTTAGATTCGCACGTAGTTTTCAGAGGTTTTCTCTTTTTCTTTTTTTTCGTAGCAAAACCAATGATGGACTTATCTCGTGTTAACATAACCCCGTCTAACCGCTGGTAAACTTAACGTTGCTCTTTAGAGTCATGCAAACACTGATGAGGCTATTTAAAGACGGAGAGATTCCACGAACACTTAAACTATTCCTCTATGCACTTCTCCTTGATTGTGAATATTGCTTATCATGTTACAGCTACAACAATGAACACGTGGCCTGAACAAATCTCTTTTGTGGTTTTTTATATTTTATTTTTGTCATTTTTTTTGTTTTGTTGTATATTTTTTAATTTTTTAATTTTTTTGGTTTTGTATTTTTTTAATCTTTTTTATTGTTTTCTTGTTTTTTGTTTTGTTTTGTTTTTTTTTTTAGCTCTTTAGGGTTTTGCAAGACACACTAAACTCTATAAAATCTCAAGCAAAGAAAAATATGTCAAATGTTTTCAACAGGTTTTCTTTAAATGCGTTTTACTGTGTACTATTGTACTATTTTTGTATTCATATCACTGTCCAATTTACGCCGACTAGCAAGAGACTTGACAACGTTACTTCAAGCTGATGTAGTCACGCTGCACACACTATCTCCTCACTGCTCGTCTGTTACTATATTCATTTCAACCATGGTAAATCTGCCCGATGGTTTCAGTCGCTGGCAACATTGTTGCAGGGGGGAGCAGAATCTTTAACAACAAAGGAAATGATTTTCTCGGAACATACTCTGACGAAATGGCTAGCTAGACCGGAAAAAAATGGTTTTTAAAGAAACAGGCCTTCACCGTTAACTAAGAAACACTGTTTTATCCTTTCCCCTAACAGCCGACCAGAACACGGGGTTCACATCATTACCTATCTCTTTCTACAATGAGTTCAACTGATTAGGTCGATAGACCTAACAACAGGATACCTACAATATTTTTCTTTTTATCTACTCTTGTATAGCTTAACCTCTACTATCTACACCTTGAATTCAATTACAAAGGCAATTCAAAAGCACACTGTTTAAATTCTCAAAACTCTTGCATTTGCGTCACTCATGGATACCCTGTACAGCACGAGATCCATAAGGAACAAATAACATATTGATTTTTTCGGTTAGCTGGCATATCATTATCTCATGTGCCTCTATTCGATGCTTCGATATTTGTATCTCGCTCTGGTTTAGTTCCATTCCTTTCACTAAACCTTCAAGCTCGTTACGAATACGAACAGGCATTTCTTCAGCAAGAAGACCATTGATTTTGGCATTAATTCGGTGAAGTTCACTCCACACAAGACCGACCTGATCATGATTGATCTTGAACTGGTAAAAATCATTTCGAAGACATTTAAGAACCTCAACCACGTGCTTTTGAAAATTTTCAATACGTGCAATCCTCTTCTCCAGGTCCGCTGGTTCCCTACCATGTGTTTCGCTGCAAGAGGCCGAATGGACTCGCACCTCACATCCAGAAAAAGTTTCGGCAGCCAAGTCTTTATCAGGAACCAAGATCTTTCCATTTGTCGATTCCATTTCTTTTAGGACATTCTTATTCGAGAGGTACTGAAATACGTCATTTTCTTCAACCTCTTGGCTTGACAGTGACCTCTCCTACAAATATCAGGAAACAGGATTTAGTTGTACACATCAGTAAGACAACTATAAAACACAAAACTGGAATAGATGACGTATGCCTTTAGGGATGTAAAGTTACAACACTCCTTGAAAATTTACACTAAAACGATGATTATATTCTGCTACTATAATATCAGGCAGTCTATAACTGCATTATATCATCGTGTCACAAAGCTAATGAGCGCCCTTTCTTGATAAAGATTGAGCAATTAACAAGTTCACTGTTGGAAAGGATGCCCTTCCTTATAGTGGTAAACATTGTTTGATGAATGTTGAATCGTTTGTCTCGCGATTCAGAGTCATGATCAATTGTAAAGGTCGGCACACACGAGGGGACTAGTCCCTGCAACTAGTCCGTGCGACTAGTCCCGGCGACAAGTCTTTGAAGGGTTTACACGAGGGGACCGGTAGCAGGGACTAGTCCCTTAAGGCGTTCACACGAGGGCACTCAATTGCACAAGAACATAGGAAAATTAAGAGGCAAAAGATGTTTCTTAGTCTGGGGCGTTACACGAAAACAAT